CTGGCGCCAGCACCTCCTCTCAAGTCTCACATGCAGCGTTGTAGCCGCAAGCAACTCGCAAGACTGAATGTCCAAGCAGTGGCGAGGTCAACATAATATAGTGTTGACTCGCCTGTTCTCGGTCAGCATCGGTCCATGTGAGGGCCCNAACTCGCAAGACTGAATGTCCAAGCAGTGGCGAGGTCAACATAATATAGTGTTGACTCGCCTGTTCTCGGTCAGCATCGGTCCATGTGAGGGCCCGGATCTTCCGATTTGGAGGGCCCGGATCTTCCGATTTGTCCGAGTTTCGGTCTGGACTCCTTGAGGACTGAATCTTCTGGAACCTGCAAACCACTGTTAGATCATTCCAGATCGATGGCCAGGAAATCTTGTGTGTTGACTTTGACTTCTCGGATCTGGGCCTGGGTCCACAAGCTGACTGTTGACTTTTTGGTCAATTGTCGGCCTGGGCCATTTCTGAGGCCTGTTTGACTCCTCTATTTCCAAGCCTGCCCGTTCATGCTTGTCCGCGGGCGCGACGAGAGCCCAGCGGCTCAATTTGGCACACGAGTCACAGCAAACAGACCTAAACAGATTTCAGTACCTGCCTTGTGGATGAATGGTACACACATGCGACTGTTGATAAACAGATGTTGAGTTCAAATCCTGTTGGATATAATAATGTTAGGGGCAACTCCCCTTTACAGCCGCCTGTGTTGTTAACGGTTGCTTGCTATTTGAGTGGTCAAGGGTGCCGATCTGCTGAGCACCCATCTGTTGTATTGAGGATAGGTGTGGCATTCTGAGCCACACGGGCCCCAGTTAGGGCCCGGTTCCAGATAGGCATGGTAGGCCCAAGGGGACGACGGTTCAGATGAGGCCCAGATAGGCGAGGACCACGGCGGTTCAGGCAGGCCAGGGGTAGAGGCCCGGGCCAACGGCCACAAGGCCGGTACCGGTCCAGCATAGGACCTACCGGCGGCGCTGCAGAGGCTGCCGCGTTTAGGCGCCAAGTCCAGTTTTAAAGCTGGACCGTTGATCAGATCAACGGTCCAGGCCGGTAGGTACCAGCAGGTAGGAGGTCGGCCCAGCACTACAAAAGGCTGGGTACCAGCCTCAGTAGAGAGGTTAGTAGCGAGGAGTTCGTCTTCAGGATTAGCGCAGCATTGCAGCGTTAGTAAGGTTAGCGCAGCGCAGCAGCGTTAGTACGAGCAGCGAGGCGAGATCAAGACAGCGGCTAGGAGGAACCAGCGCAGCAGGAACAGCGCCAGCCACCGGCCCAGCCCGCGGCCCAGCGCCAGCCTCCTGCAGCGCCATAGCTACCGGACAGGTACCAGGGAGGAAGGCCTCGCCTTCTCTCCCTCTTCCNCTCTCTCTCTCTCTCTCTCTCTCCTCCCACCTTCTCAGTCTAAGTCTACTTCTGGGTTCTCCTACGGGACTACTATAAGTATGAAAGATGGTTACAAATTCTGATGACATTGGAGACAGCAACATGGGGACTATAGATTGAGGACTAGTTGTGGGATCTGATTTCATCTGCCTCTGGAGATGTACTTGACATTGTGAGATCGATATCTGAGACATTGTGGGACACTGTATTTGCGACATTTCGGACTTTCGCCAGCTCTGACATTTCAAGATACTATCTTTGGAAACATCGAGTTGGCGTCATCTTCCCTCTCCTCCTCCCTTCATCTCTCTCCTCCCTCCATTCGTCCGTGGATGATCTCAGACCCTGGCCTTTCGTCTATGTCCAAGGCCAGGGCTTTCACACCCCTGATGAATGATTGAGAGTGTTCGATTGCAGTCCGAGTCAGGTCAGAGTCAGTCCATGTATCTCAAGTCTGCCGCTGTATTTGTATTTACTCTGTATTATCTGGTCGGTTCTGGGAATCTGTGCCATACTTATGACTATGTTTCACGGGTATGCAACAGTTTGGTATCGGAGCAGACCAGCATTGGATGACTCACCATTGATTGATTGATTGATTGATTGATTGATTGATTGATTGATTGATTGATTGATTGATTGATTGATTGATTGATTGATTGATTGATTGATTGATTGAT